TAACGGTTTTATTTAAATACCTTTTTCCTCTAGCTCTGTTCGCCTGGGCTTCGGCACTCGGACAATTATCACCCTTGTGACCTCGTACTTCCTGGCAGTAGTAACAAAACCAGGCACCAAATTCTATTAGTGGACAGTCCTTTGCCATATGACCCATTCGGTTGCATCTGTAGCATTTCACTTGTTTCATGTTCTCTTCTGCAGCAGCCCTCTGTACCCTGACTTCGGGTTTCTCTAATTTTTCTTTATTCTCGTTTTTAGTCTCTGCTTCTAACTGCATCATAAAAGACTTTATTTCATCTATGTTCATTTCTTTAAGATTAGTTTGTCTTCTAATTAAATCTACATTCCTCAGCTCTGGTACATTAATTGACACAGCCTGATAAAGTGCAGATCTAATCTCTTGTTCTGTGAGGGGTACCGCATCTTCACATGATTCATATTCTCTAATTATTGAATCGAAGCGTTCACAAAAATCACTTACTTTTTCGTCTTTTCTCATTTTAATTTGATAGAGTTTAGCTCGTACCGATGCATGAGTAACGTTTACTTCACTCTTTTTATATCCTCTCAATTTCTTCAAAATTTCTTTTGGATCTTTTTCATGTAGAATCCTTTTATGATAGTTTTCATCTAAATGATTGATTATTATATCTCTAACAAGACTTTTTCTCTTAGCAACTTTTAGTTCGGAGAGATTTTCTGGACTTTCAATGTTTGAATCTATTACATCTAACAACTCGTTATTCATTAACTCAGATTTTAAATAATCCATCCAAAGATCAAAGTTGGATTTTTGCGTCAGCTTATATTCTCTTCTAATATGCAACCTTTGACTGTTCAATTCCAATTTTATAGCTCTTTTCATTGTCTCTAAACTCCTATCTTTTTCGGCTGAACAGACTGTTATTTCATTTAATTTTCTCTTTTTAGACTCTACCTCTAGTTCTTTAACCGTTTGTTTACTGTTTTCTACTGAACTTTGGGTATCTTTATTGCTTACCTCTAAACGTCTAAGTTTAACTTTTTCTTTCTCTAAGTTTAAACGGGAGACTTCCACCATATTCTCCATCATCTCGGTGGCCTTCTTCATTACTTTATCCAGCATCTGCATCGAATTGTCCATTTTCTCAACCATCTTTTCTTGTTTCTCGTAAAGTATCTTTGTCCCTATAGGTAGTACAGGACGATTTTCAGCCCATTCTCTATTCACATCTATGTTTTCTATTATCTTTGGTTTGCCGCGTTTCGGGATTGCACCCTTTGCTTCAGTCTCCTTCTTGTCTTTTGCTTCTATACGGAATTTTGAAATTACTATTTTTATTTTCTCTGAATGCATATATATATTATTCTTCTGGACTACTTTATTTTCAAAAAAAATACTCTCTTACCTCTATCTTTTCTTACTGTCTCCTCGTTTTTATCTTTTGCTTCTCTATCTATTACCGTGATAAAGCTGCTATCGCTGTCGTAGTCGACCAGCGCATCTTGGCCTTCTTCTTCTTCCATCTATATCGGGATTTAAATATCAACTGAACATTAGCATTCCTCTTTTGACAAGATAAACCAACATTCGTATTGACAAATAATAATTTACAATTTCTATCACTAGATCTCTTTCAGCGATAAAAATTTAATGCTTATGAGGCTATATAGAACGCACTGCAATTCACAATAACCCCAAAGAAAGAGAAAACCACGCGCCTCTGCAGGGCTATCCGCACGCGCACACCACTGTCCGTTGCGATCCCCAGCACTGCTGAAAAGATCTATGGGAGCTCGGGTTGATCACGCACACGCACGGGGCCCATACAAATTTACGCGGCTTCCCTAAACAGTAATCAAGCTACACCGCACAGCAAGTCATGCTCAATTACCGACCCGATACATATCGATTTCAAAAAAAAATAAACTCATATAGAGTCATATAGAGTTTTTATACATACGCATACATTTACATGTATCGCAATCTAGCCATCTAGCATACGCATACATTTACATGTATCGTAATCTAGCCATCTAGCATCGATGCCATGTTGTTAGTCGAAATCGATTATGTGTTTGTGCGTGCCCAGCAACAAGTTCTGCGCGCCAAAAACAATGACTCTCGCCGTCTACGATCGGACTTCCGCGCGCCAAAAGAAATGACTCTCGCCGTTCACGATCGGACTTGCACGCGCACGTCGCCGACTTGCTACCAAGCGGCATTTTTCTATCTCTTTTTCCTTCATCATTCTCTACTTCTTTATTACACTTTACACATCTATTCTCTAATTCTCTTATTACCATTATTACCTCTATTTCTATTTCTCGAGAAAAATGGCAAAAACATCTATCTCCTTGTAACAGTATTTATCGAACGAACATTCTTATTAACTGAGAATTCTCTCGTTTTGCTCGTCAGCAACGAGGAATATTATTTACTTACCCTTTAATCTTCTAGATGCTTTTATCTCTTTCTATGCCCTTCGCCGGCGTCTCACACACTTCGTATATACACTTTCGTGCTATGTTCCTTATAAGGGGAATCGTGCCCTGGGCCCATAACTTATTGGAAATATAATCAGGGACGACTTGAAATGTGGTGAGATGAGCAGGGAACACAACAATCTTGGTCTTTGTACACTCTGAATACTGTCTTTATTATATATAAGTACATCACACTCTGTAACTTAAACCGTAATCGACACGTCTGAACACGACGGTGATCGAGGCTCTTGTGAGCACCACTGATGCCCGCACGCACGCGTGGCGCGCCGAGTCGCGCCGCCAACCGGGGGCTGCCCTCTAGAAGGGCGGGAACTTATTGCTCGTTCAAAGTCTTCTCCCAACATATATTTATACTAGATTAACGAAATTTTATTATTATTTTAGCATCTCCCTTTGGTCCTTCAAGAAGAAGTGCTCGCAAGATCAGATGGACGGATGATGAAGGCTCGATAATTTTATCTTCATTCTCAACTTATCTTCATTCTACAGATAATAAAACAAAATTGCCATCTTTCCGTGAAATTAACGAAATAAAAGTTAAACATCCTGTATTGATGGCTCATTCAAATGCTCAGATAAAATCTTAGTTATATCAAAAAGAAGAAACTCACATAAGTTCTTGAAATTATACTATAAGAAAAGGGAAACTTTTATTATTGTTTTTTATGTAGAATAATCGCAATTAAAGAAAATGAATATTTTTTTTTATTTTTAAGGTTATTTTGCGTTTTTAAAAATAGTATTTTTTTTTTAATTTTTTTTCTTATCACGTAATAATTAATCTTAACCTGCAATTATCTAGAAACACATTTGTCTACATAAACATACACAAATAAATGTGAATTCTGTCATTATTTCAATAAACCGAAATGATTATTAAAATGTGTTGTGACGTGACAAATGTCGCGTCCCTTACCCCAGATGGGAGCTCGGCCGAGGGAGGCGTCAGGGATGGTGCCTCCGCCCGAGGCGGGCGGAGAGCGAACCGTTAGGTTAGGATTAAGATCTTTTGCGAGCGTTACAGGTCGAGGGAGTGCGGAGCAGATGGCCAGGGTCACGACGAATGTAACGGCGTATGCCGCGTCGAGGGACTTACGGATGGGCAACCAGGAGCTTCCGAGGGCGTGCGGTCGACGGGCGAGTCACGCTGGGGCCCACAGCCGGAAGATCAGCTGACCTGTCAAAGCGTCCCAAGCGGCACGAGAGCACTGCGGCCCGAATACGGAGGACCCGGAAAGGGGGACGCCCCGACGAAGGTCCCCGTTGAGGAACGGGGCCATTACCGGTGTACCGCCCCCGGTCGACGAGCCACGGCCCGGCCAGCCTGGCCGTCGAGGAACCGGACGATGAGACGCGGCCCGGACAGCCGGTCTCACGTGGGCGGACTTTGAAACCACCGCCGGCGGATGGGCGCAGTGCCGAGGAGCGCTCTAGTAGAGCGCGGCGATCGCCTAGAGAGATCGCCGGCAGGCCAGGGCGCAGCACCAACCAGGCTAGGGAAATCGGCGCGCGGGCGCGCGCGGGCCCTGCGTGATCCCGCCGGACCAAGGAAACGCCACTGTCGTGCGAGCCGCCATCCCAGCAACTACGAGCCCCGTGAGACGAGCGACGAGCTGCCGGAATCGAGAGATTTGTAAGGCCTCTATTCTGCCTTCCTCGAAGTAAGATCGCGAGAATATCTAGGCCCTCCCGGGAGTCGCGTTGTGCCGCGGTAATGTATGGAATCAGCCGTAATTAAAGAATATCGAGTGATATACCGCGGGAGGGCCCGTGCGGCGAAATGATCGCGAGTGCCCGTCTCGGGGATAAGAACGTACGGCCGCCGACAGTCAGCGTGCTTGTAATTTCGTCGCGTGTGATATCGTTTTGTGTACTTTCGTTGCGTTTAATTTCGTTGTGAGTAATTTCGTTCCGCGTAATTTCGTTGCGGGTGATCGTCGCGTGGAATTTCAGGATCGCCGTTGGCTTAACCGTGCCGTAGTTTTGAGAAGTCACTCTCGCGCGTGAGAGAGCCTCGTAGTTATCGTTGCCGGTTAAGTTTCTGCCATTTGTAATTAGAGATACGTGCGTTTCATCGGAATGAAGGGCCCACCGTTGTGTCGAGTCTACGGGTGAGGCCATTCGTGTATTTCAAGGGGAGAGAAGATCCCCAGCGTTGTCGCGGTAGACCGTAGGGAAATTGCGTTAATTGTTTAATTGTTAGACGTAGACGTTTCGAGTATTTCGCGTTTGACCGTCCGGGTAGAATTCGCTGCAACTTATGTCAGGGAATACTCTTGTACGAATTCGATCGGGATTGCCGAGCGGTTCAGCGACGGAATGAGTATCGTGCTCGTAGGGTGACACGTGGCGTGTACTCGAATTCTGCTTGTTCGCCGTGGAACACGCTATCGTCCACATGTTATCTGCCTTAACCGAAATATAACTTTATGTTTCATGTTATTTGAGTGTGATGATTGCGCTACGCTCCCTCTCCTATTCCACCCGCGGTTGATCAAAGAAGCCCACGCCTGAGAAATACTGCGATCTCGTGAATTGTGGTGCGTGGAATCGCACCTGGCGCCCAACATAACATCTGAAAAATACTCAGTCGAGCTACCATCGGGGTTTCGGAGAGAAGTATTGCAAATAAATATAGAGATCTATAGTGAAGAAAGCGACGGCGCGCTCCTCCACGGCCGGCGAGACTGTGAGGACATCGTCGTCGTCGTCGCAGTGTCTTGTCGTTAACCCTCTAACTGCATACGTATTTTTTTTTAATCTTGACAGTGCATACGTGGTCTTTCTCGTCCAACGTTATTTTCTCTACTTTCACCCTTCGCCCGTAATCTGGGTCGTAAATGGCACAAGCCGAAATTCAAAATAGAATACCGCCGAAATGAAAAGGGGGGGGCTTGCTTTTCCTCGTAAAAAAAGTAAGTAGTGGGGAGAACTCATGCCCAAAGTTTCGTTGGAATTCGCCAGTGTGTGCTTGACCAGCAGCGAGTCAAAGTGCGTCCAGTGCTAATATTGACCCTGATTACGGACAGTGCCAGAATTTCGTGCAAGTAAATAAAATTAATTTAACGTCATTTTCATATTACTACAGTTATTTTTAACTTATATAAGTTATATTTTTTTATGATTGTGTATATTATATATATAATCTCAAAATGTGAGTGGATGAAAGCACGTGTAAAAAGAAATTACATGTACTTTCAGAGTACAATGGATGATCAAGCGACAAATATCATATATTATTTACGAGAAAGACGTCACGCAGTTAAGGATGAAGCTTCTGAAAATGAGTCAGACCACGAGGAAGTCAAGGAGCACGTGTCTGGGCCTGAAGAAGCTGATGGAGACTCCGATTTCGATACAAGCACAAATTTATGTTTGTCATGTGCTAATTCTTGGACAGAATAAATCGCTCTTAATGTTCTTGAACGATTTTATATGATTTTTTAATAAAATAATGTACAAATTACGCTAAAAGTCTTATTTTTCTTTAACCCGACAAACGCTATTTTCAATCCTCAGAATAATTATACTTTTTGAAAATGACCCATATACAGAATTTTTTTCTTGAAAGTACACATATTTAACTATAAAACCTCGTTGAAATTTTCCATTCTGATTTAAAATTCAGTGAGATATGATTTTTTTTATAAAAATGGATTTTTATTAATTTTTTGCATAAAGAATTATTTATAAACAATTTATTTTATAACAAATCGCTAAATAAATTTTGGGATTATAAAATAGGATAGTATACAAGTATTACAGAATTTTTTCAGATTTTTTGAACACTATTTATTACGTCAAAATAACGACAGGACATTACGACCCAGATTACGGACGATGCCAGTCAAATTATAGTTTACAGGCGAAGGGTTAAAATGTTTTTAAAAATTTGAAAAAATTTAAAAAACATCTGTCAACATTGTAATTGACGGTTTTAGATTAATGTTTTCAAAAAATTTTTGAATTGAATTATTTAGGGGGGTCAAAATAGTACTTTTTAGGTAGGAAAATTGTTG